TGTGAAAGTCATCAGGTGTATGCTTAATAAAAGCCGAGAGAGAGAGAGAGAGTGCAGGTATGCCTAATTAGCTCCTCTGTTAATGAATCCAGGGAATACGAAGCTCAGGAATATTTCACGTGGAACACGTTGTCGCAGCTTATACCTCCCCTCTCGTATAGAATTGTATGGAATAAAAGTTTGATTTCATATCTACATATGCCACGTGAAAAGTATTTTTTGAACAATGATTTAAGTAAGATATTTGTATGATATATTGGGTAACCCTAAGGGGTAATGGGTCATTGGATGGGTTTTTTAAGAATTGGAAAATTTTTACAACCCAACACTGTAGAACACAGGAGCACAATAAATGATTTTGATTATTATATTTTGCTTGGTTAATAAATAATAGACCCACATCATCCCAAGTTCTTAATCTTAGATAGGATTAGGAACCCCCATATCGCCACAAAACTATGGATGTGTGATGAATATGATAAAGTTCTTCAACAAAATTTGTTAAAAACCATGTGTTTTGTTCAATAACAAGATCGAATGTAATACTATTATAAGACTCAGCTCAGTGTTTCACTTTGAGATAACATAACCTCAAAAATTTTTGTGTCCACGCTACTTCAAAGTCCCTTATGTGCAATAGTCTACATGACTCGATTGGGGATGGGCTGTCGTGCAACAACAACTCGGTTAGCTACGGTTAAACACAGTTAGAGCTACGAGTACGTGTATATAGGTACAACATGTGTATAGAGGCAGTAAAGCTCACTCCCGAAGGCAATGTAATCAGAATCACCAGTTAACATGCAATCTCTTCCTTATCGTGATTACTGCATTGGTTTATCCAACCACTTGCGCCCCTCCCGGCTTCTGCTTAAAGATGCATCAGTCGATCTAAAGTATACATGTTTGCACAGAGTCGAAAAAATGTAATTTCATGCATGGGGAGTTGTTTCGGCTATTTTTTTTTTTTTTTTTTTTTTTTTTTTTTTTTTTTTTTTTTTTTTTTTTTTTTTTTTTTTTTTNCCCCCCCCCTACTCCCAAGGCAGTTTTGAGCTTTAATATTATCACGCATATGTCTTGATATTATACTCTACTACACGTCGAATACATGGTTGTAGTGGTGCGTGTTGGCGAAAAGTTTTTTTCCGGCGTTACCGAGTATATGACCCCCTCGCCCCCCCTTTATATATGGGGGGAAATGAATTCCGACCGTGTATATAGATGCTGATTCCTGTATACGAGAAGGGAATCAAGAGTCAACGGAGCGAGCGGAACAGCACTTTTTCTGTTTCTCTCTATTCCACGTTGGGTGTATGTATGTATTACGCTTAACGACTTGTATTATACATGTATATTATATGTGTGCTAGGTATAATTTGTCGAAATGTAAAAACGCGCCGAGTAATTAACGCACCGCTGTACCGTACCGTTGCAAATGAGAGTAAATTACACGATGGTGGGGTTTAAAAAAAATGGTGAGCGAACTTACGGGCTCGAGATTTTATTTTGTTTTCCGTTGAAACCTGTACGTATGAAAGTCACTTTTTCGAGGATCATGAAAAACTTTTTTGAAAAGTCTGACTGTGGATTGAGTCTTTTTTTTTTTTTCAAAGGCTTACGTAACATTCATCGTTAGAAAAACGCGTTCACCTTCGTTGTACAGTACTTTGATAAAGCTGTTGGCGCCGCACACTCATTTTCTCCTTCCACCGAGTAAGTAGTAAAAAACGATTACAGGCAGACGCGCTCGATGTAACTCTTTTCTTGTTTTTTTTTTTTTTTTTTTGCCCATGCAGCTAATTTACACACCGATATCTCGCGCCACATCTCAAACTTTACGACGTACTTATACGCATCCCCCCAGGGGGAGAATCGAGATTAACGGTGTAAGTATATATATATATGTATACAAGCGCGAGGGCAAAAGACTTAATAGCCCATAAATCGAGAGTCGGTGCAGTGCACCCTTTATATGCATATATGTATATATACCTATCTCGCGGGAAGCGAGTCTCGTGCACTTTATATCTCCAACTTCTGCTTCGTGTACGTGCATGATTTTTCTTGTTACTTTTAATATTTTACGTGCGATATGGTGTCGTGAAATAAAATGAAAAGCGTATAGGATCGATGACGGTCACTTGATTTCTGAAGGCTAATGGCTCCGAGATATTTAATCGGATGATGAAGCTTGAAAATTGATTTTTAATTTTTTTTTTTTTTTTATGCTTGTTAGCGCAGATTTAAATGGAGTTAATTGCTGGTTTATTGAATATTTTTAATTTGCAACAACATTGAATACAAGAACCATGGCGACGATTGGGATTGTGCATCATCAAACGCAAAAATATGCTATGTTTCTTGTAGTATCTTGTAGAAAATTCTCCAGCCAAAAGAGTCAAGCATCGTCCTCGCGAATGTCTCGTAGATTCCAAATACATACGAAAAAAATCAAAACTCAGTTCCTCGAGAAGTTAGCCGAAAATTATCCACCAGAAATTCTCGACGCACACTTGCCATTCCTCAACTCACCGAGCCCGCGAGCAGCGAGCTAATCCACCCCCCAGGCTCGCGAGTTTCAAATTGTACCCTTCCTCCCTTCGTATGCCTGGAACTACTTAATAAATAAAAATTCAAAAAACAGACGCTGCGCAAGCCAAAGTCGACGTGGCAGTCGGCGGCGCCCCAAGAGTCCCGAAGCTTCCCCCCGAGTGCCGTCCACGCGGACGAGGTGGCGACGACGGACGTTGCCGTCGAAGACGAGGAGGAGGAGGAGGAGGCCGGCGACCCCGGCGAGGAAGAGGAGGAGGCTTTCTTCCATCACGGGGACAGGTCGGCTGTCCAGCAGGTGGTGGTGGTGGATGGTGAGCAGCAGCCCGAAGGCGCGACCGTGCAGGTGGACGGGGCGGAGCCGCTCGCGAGGATCTGGAGCCCGTCGGCTGACAAACAGCAGCAGGTCGAGATCGACAGGCAGAGGAGGACCGTCAGGACCACGCCGACCAGGGATCATTATGCCGTGAGGTGAGTTGGAGGGTGTTTTTTTTTTTTTTCGGGGAGGTAATTTTTGTTTATCCAATTTGACACGTTGGGGATGGATAAAAGAGCCACGTGGATTTTTTTTTTAATAAATAAAAAGGAGCTAAATTAAAACCTCTTTTTTATATCTTGTACAAGGTAAAAAAAAAAATCTCTCTCTCTCTCTCGTCCATTAGGCTAACGAGANTAATTATTTAACATATCACTTTCAATGAGACTTTTCAAATCACATAAAAATTCAAGAATTTCACTTACATTAGCTACGAATATAATTCTATGTACATATATCTATCACAAGTCTTTTTAATTATTTACTCATTTTTATTGCATTGTTATAACGAATAAAAATCAAATACTTACATCTTTAGCACAAATACATTACAAATATACACATACGCTGCCCGTATTGCCCCGCAAGTGGTTCCCCCCGCTATCTCTACCGAACGTCCTTAAGCAAAATATAACATTAAAAAAAAAAAAAATTGAAAATGTATCCATGTCAAAGTCTGTATATACCATTACTAACTATATTGACGTTTTAGAAAAAATTGAAGCTCTCCATAAACATTGTTTTTCACAGCTTTAAAATTGACAATGAATCGCCTACCCGCGGCTTGTGTAAAATTAAAATTACCCTGAAACAGGTCGAATGACGATTTAAATAATCATGCGACCGTAATTTTATTCCTACGAGACACTAAAAAAGTTATCAAATTGTCATGATTTGTAGAGGTGACGGTATTGTAAATATAAATTTAATCACTTGAAACTTTATGGAACCTCAGTCCACTAAGCCATAATCTATTACTCAGTCAAAAACCCACGCGATCGCGAAAAGTCAATTTGCCTTTGATGATAATCATCGGGTGTGGTAACTGTACAAAATTTCATTAGAAATCCACGATGGCCCTATAAATATTCTGCCCAGTGAGGTCGTGGTACATTACAATATATACACACGGGTCGTGATGAGATTTCGTGCCCTTTGAATTAATTGAAATAGGCAGTGTACGTAACAGATTTAAATTAATTGAGGAATTTCGTGTTTGAATTAACAATTATAGACACGACCATTTCCCGGCGCACGCGATCAAAAAAAAAAAAAAAAAAAAAAAGCTTCACTTACGGTATTATTCAATGACTCGACAAATATACATTACAAAAGTGACTCGGTGTAAATTTTCAATCATAAAAGAAGCTTCATTGAAGAAAAAATACAAAAAAAATAAATTAAAATCAAAGCTGATTTTCAACAATGACATGAGGTACTAATGATTAACGTGATCAATCAGTTATATAAAACGCGAGACCGCGACGTTCTTCGGGGTGGACGAGGAGACCGAGGCGACGGAGAAACAAAAATGGCTCGACCGCCGTCGAAGGTTGGCATCGAGGAAGTACGGGGCTCTGCTGCCCGAGTACAGACAACAAACATTTAAATTTAATCATAAAAAAGATATCACAAAATCATAAAAAAGATATAAATTGCCTTGATAAAATTGTAATTATTTAATGATGAGAAAAAGTATTTGAAGTCAAATCGTTAATCAATGTGATGTCTCAAAGTTAAGTAATCGTGAATAGAGAAAAAATAATTTTACATTTTGATGTTTTTTTTAAGACTATTCAAAATAGTAAACATTTTCATAAAGTACCAATTTTCTTAAGAAGTTATTGATGAGATTAAAAATTCGGCAAACATCAAGTGTGTGTTGCCGCAACTGTTCGACAGTAATTTCATTGACGAAAATATCACGTAATTTCGAATAAATTGATTTTTTTTATAAATCATTGAAAAACGGTTAATATACTTACTAATACACAAAGTAAACATTTTATACAGGAAATAAATTAAAAATCCATAAGTATTTTGAAAATAAAAAAAAAATAAAAAATCTACAGTTCAATCTCAGATGTAACGGAAGCATGAACCAATTGTTTATTTATTTCCTCAATTCTTCCAGGCAACCGTCGCCGAACTCCGCGACGACCAACAGCTCGACGGTCTCGACGAGCTGCACCGACAACGAGAGCACAGCCGCCCAGAGCATCGCCGGCCTTTACTCTGCCAACCAGCAGCAACAATCCCAACAACAGCAGCAGCAACAGGCATCGACGGAATCGACATCCACGACGCCAACGGCAAGCAACAGCACGGCTTCGACGACCATCGTTTGCGCCGCGAGTTCGCCGCCCAACATCACGAGGAGCGTGTCCGCGCCAACCGGTCCAAGACCCCAGCAGCAGCCGTCCAGTTGCAGCACTGGTGCGGCCGGTACCAACACCGCCACTGGACAGAGGCCCAAGCTCAGGCGGAATCAGAGCCGCACCGAGGCCATCAAAAAGTAGGCTTTTACATTTTTTTTGTTTTTTTTTTTCTTGAATTTTATACTTGATAGCACACGGAAATATTTCAATTGAAAGCTGATGGAAAATTTACGCAATACTAAAGTTTCATCAATTGATTTTACGGTCCTGGGTGGTGTAATGCGTAATAACGTGTATTTTATTCAAAGTAGGGGTGAAATAAATTACATGTTTTAATTACTGTGTTTAACAATATTTGCGCACTTTTTAAAAAAAAGGTATTAACTACAATTTTTTTTTAAACATATCAATTTGCACTGAATACTACAACGTGTACGGAACGCGAAGCGATGAAAAATTTTATGGATTTTGAAACATTTGGAAAAAAAATTCTTGTTCCTGATTGATGTGCATTCTCTATTTGGTCGAAAAATTTTTCATCCCATCACTTTTTACAATAAAAAAATTTTCTAGCTGACTAGTAAATTTTAAAAATTAATATTTTTCGTAAAAGTATTTAAAATCACGTAATTAAATACTAGTTGAAACGCAACATTTATGCTGGGTTATAAGTAGTAATTTAAAAAAATAAAGTTTGAGCATTTACAACTCATTGAATTTTAAGGACGTTCGGTAGAGACAGAACCCTGTGATGAATCTTTTTGAAATTTTAACCAGACGTTCTTATTGTTGTTACGATGAAGCTGTTAAAATTTCAGGAGGTTCGTCTGTTTTGTTTCCGAGATATTGAATTTCAAAGTTCAGTCATTTTAACACGGTCGCTTATGGGAAAACCTATAAAACTCAGTTTTAAATAAATGTGCGTGATGAATGTCTCCAATTTTTTTATATGTCACAGATAATGTTATTAACTATATGTACACAAAGTTTCGCGATGATCATCTGATTAGTTTATAAATAAAAAAACTAAATAATAATTCGTCAAAAACGTAACGGCAACGTCGCAAGAAGCGGGAAATTCAAAATGTTCCAGGACGTAAATCAGTAAATATTTGAATATTATGGTAGATAATTAGGTATTTCTGTATAAAACATAAGTTTATATATGTGTGTGAGTGTATGTACATAGGTTCCACCCGTACCCATAACGAAACAATGTATTATAATAACACATATTTATTTTTCTTAATAAAATTTTTAATTTGTAATTTTTATACAATACAATTTTTTTACACAAGATAACAAAATCACATGCTTGTAGTAATCACAGAGACTAAAGTATGTCCTAATTATTTAACATATCACTTCCAATGAGACTTTTCAAGTCACACAAAAATTCAAGAATTTTATTTACATTAGCTACGAATATAATTGTATGTACATATCTCTGTCACAAGTCTTTTTAATTATTTACTCATTTTTATTACATTGTAATAACGAATAATAATCAAATACTTACATCTTTAACACAAATACATTACAAATATAGACATACGTGATACGCTGCCGTAACCGACGCAGCAGACAGTGCAGACACTGCAGAGTGCTCACCACCTGATGTGTGTACATGAACACTCACACATTGGAGACCCGCGCGACGATGCCAAGTCTTCACTCATCGCTACTTCCCCCTTGCCCCGCAAGTGGTTTCCCCCCGCTATCTCTACCGAACGTCCTTAAGGTGGCTCCAGCGCCTAGTGCCGTATCAAAATGGGGAGACTAAAAATTAATCATTATTTTCTTTAAAATATGGTATAAAATTATCGTAGAGACTGTTGTAAGCCATATTCTATATTTTATCTGTTACTTTAGTGAGTTAATATAAAAAAACAAAAAAGTTTTATGGTGCCCTAATTGATGAACTGTTACGGTACGCTCCTAAGTTCAAGAGTAGTTATA